GGGCGCGGAGGTCACAAGGGCGGGCGCGGGGCTGGCTGGGACGGGCACAAGGCAGGAGCGGCGGGGCCAGGCAGGCGCGGCGGGGCCAGGCAGGCGCGACGGGGCCAGGCAGGGCGCGACGGAGCTGGGCAGGGCGCGACGGAGCTGGGCAGGGCGCGACGGGGCCAGGCAGGCACGTCGAGGCCAGGCAGGCGCGGCGGGGCCAGGCAGGCGTGACGGGGCCAGGCAGGCGCGGCGGGTCCAGGCAGGCGCGGCGGGGCCAGGCAGGCGCGACGGGGCCAGGCAGGGCGCGACAAGGCTGGGCAGGGCGCGACGGGGCCATGCAGGCACGGCGAGGCCAAGCAGGCGAGGAGGGGCCAGGCAGACGCGACGGGGCCAGGCAGGGCGCGACGGGGCTAGGCAGGGCGCGACGGGGCCAGGCGGGCGCGACGGGGCCAGGCAGGGCGCGACGGGGCTAAAAGGCGTGACGGGGCCCAGGAGGGGCGCGTCACGGCCAGGGGGACGCGACGGGGCGCAGGAGGGGCGCGACTGGGCTAGGGGGTCGCGACGGGGCTAGGGGGGCGCGACGGAGCTAGGGGGTCGCAACGGGGCCAGGGGGGCGCGACGGGGCGCTAGAGGGGCGCGACGTGTCCCTGAAGAGGGCGCGACGGGGCTAGGGGGTCGCGTCGGGGCTAGGGGGGCGCGACGGGGCCCAGGAGGGGCGCGACGGGGCTAGGGGGGCGCGACGGGGCCATGAGGCGCGGCAGGGCCCAGGAGGGGCGCGACGGGCCTAGGAGGCGCGACGGGGCCCAGGGGGAAGCGGCGGGGCCTAGCTAGGGTACGGGCGGAAGCGGTAGGTGGGGGATCCTAACCTACGCGTGATACCATATCAAAGTGAGAACTGAAATGATGAGTAGAGAGAGAGTACATGTGAATATACCTAAGTGTTGTACCCTCTAAGAGGTGGCCCTATACAGTCTATGCAAACATAGGAGATACACATGTTTGACAGGCTGGTCCTTGACCAGAATCACGCAAGTTTGAGGCGGGTTGGGGCAGATGTGAGGGGCGTGATTGGTCCTCGACCACAATCACGGAACTTCTAGGCGAGCTACAACAGGTGTGGGGGGCGTGATTGGTCCTTGACCAGAATCACACAAGTTCTAGGCGAGCTGGAGGAGGTGTGAGGGGGTTGATTGGTCCTTTGTTAAAATCAGGGAGGAATCTGACGAGAAGAATTGTATGCAGTGAAGTCCGATCCGACCTAAGAATCGGAAACTACAAAAATGTAGGCCTGATAAGTCAGACTAAAAAAAACAATTGGCCTGAAAAAACATGCCACGCCCACAACCCGACCCTTAAAAACATGGGCTCTCACATGGGCGACCCTGAGCAATCAGCCTCCCTAAAACCAATCTGAGGGCCTGCTCTCCAGTACCCTCCGTAGAGATAGAGAGAGGATCGACAGGGTTATCCCAGTACCACGACACCCCCCCCCCGTTGGGATAGTGTGTACACCAGGAATTGAACCCCGGATGGCTCTGATACCAAGTCATAAAATCACCAGTCCTAGCCGCTGGGACAAGAAAGGATATCATCAAGAGGGTTAGGTTCCATTATCCATATATCCACCTTCCCCGAAGAATGCCTCCCCAGTACCCTCCCTAGAGATAGAGAGAGGATCGAAAGGGTTATCTCAGTGCTACGACATTCATGGCATTGGTATGGCTTACCCTTTTCCACAAATCGTTTTGGAGACAAGAGAGACAAGGAAATTGTAGTGTGTAGTGTGGCTGCTGGTGCGTGAGCAATTGTATTGTATGTCACCAGATGATAGGTCATACATCGTATTGTATGTCACCAGATGATGACCTAAAAATCTACATAGATAAAATTCAATATAGGTCATCATCTGGTGGCATGTAATACGATACAGGTTATATGCCTTGTAAGCGACTTCCTTTTACGCCCGGGAGTATCTCATAGGCATTTTATCCTTACGGACCTCTCCTTGTAAGCAAAGTGTACCCGTCTCAACTGAACAGTGAGTTCGATAGTCAATTCGGCTGATATTTGGCAGTCCAATCAGTTAGTTTTTGTGTTTCCAGGGCGACCTCTCCTACTGGTTGGCGAGCCTTTAAACATCCAGATGTGTCAGGCTCGCCAACCAATGTCGAGACCAAAATCCAAATGATGCTATCGATACGACCACCTCGGTGACGGTCCACTAGAACAACGCCAGCAACGCGAACAGAATCCGTCTGCGTAGCCCTGGGCAATTCCGTCATCCGTCTGCCAACAGGAAATCGCCAAGTAAGCAACATAGGGGTCCCAACATCGTTCCTCCCGCCAACAATGCAGACACCACGGGGTTATTTGTATGGCCCAATCCTCGACCTTTTCACGACACAAAGAACGAGCCCATCAGACCCACGACGTCGTCCGCATGGCACCTGTACGCCGAACTGCGTTGTCCGTCGAGCAGAAGCTTGCAATCTGCCAGTACGCGAAGAAGAACCCGACTTTATGTCTCGAAGACATTGGGCGATGGTGCCACACTAGATACGGCCTGTGGCCCGATCGCAGCACAGTCGGCCGAGTTCTCCAAAAAGAAGTGAAGTGGCGGGCCATCGGGCCCGAACGCGCCAAGTTCAAAAGATTGCGAAGCCCACACTGGCCTTTACTCGAAGCTCGACTTAAGAGCTGGCTGAAAAGCACAAACGGTGCTGGCTTGCCAGTGTCGACCGCTCTAATCCAACAGCGCGCTATTCTGCTAGCACCCGAATGCAACGTCCAATCAAAGCTTCTGTTGGATGGGTTCAGAAAGCATTGCGCCGAATGGGATTCAATTGGCGTAAGATGAGCGGCGAGGTGAAGTCTGCCGACGAGGGCACCTCGCTGACCTTGGTGGGCGAATGCGCCTCCCTCCCCGGCTGCACAAGACTCAGAGCGGAACCGTCGCAATCGGTCGCGCATGGCTACAGAGATGCTGATTGGCTACGCAAAGTCAATTGGATTGGCGCCTAGCGATCTACGCGTCTTGTTTGACATCCGCGAACCTTCGGTTATTGATCGCCTGGAGCGCGCATCCCCCCGCCTGGACACGAACGCTGCGCCCGGCGCGGCGGAGGAAGGGTACCTTAGTCATGTCCGTGGAGCCACAGCCGTCATGACCGGATACCCTAACGCTGGCGAGTGGATGACTTTTGGCGCGCATGCCGCTACCTATCGCGGATAGAAGGCGCTTAATTTCTGTGCATTAATAGGCGGTTAAATTTAGACTTCGGGTATGGCGCGTGCGAGTCGAGGACCGAGAGGCAATGTGCTCTCCGTATGACGTTAGGGGCGAGACGCTTGTGCTGTGTTGCAGTGAAGTGGGTAGTTTTCGTCTTCGTAAGTATGGTTTTCGGTTTGAGTCTTATTTTGCGGCATGGACTTGTGTCGAGTGTTGTCTTTGTTGAGGCAAATCTGTTGCCTAATAACGCAGCATGATTGTCACATGACGCATGAGTTTGAACATTCTGTTGTAACGCAGAGTTGATACACTCGCGAAAAGGCTTGCGACGCTGTGACGTGTACTCAATCGCTGCATATGCCAGACAAGCCGCCCATGCACAGTACACAAAAAACAACTCCCCATTTCTTGGGAAAACCCGATAGTCCACGTTGCCCCTACCGTACGGCCTGTATTCGTTGTAAGCGAAATCTCTCGCGTCGCCCCCCGGGCTCTCAGGGCATATGACTTGTACCTGTTTTCTGGGGACAGGTTTTGATCAGGCAAGCATGATGAGGCGGTCTTCGTCGTCCTTGAAACGGCATGGCTGGTTGGCTTGCTACCCTTGTTGCCCGAGTCAGTCACGTCTCGGTTCTCTCACAAGAGCTTCCCGCATCACCTAAGTTTTTGGCACGGGCAACCGCACACCGTTTTGAATCACATGGTGTGCCATGTTCTCAGATGAGACAACGGATACAGTTGAACTTGCCAGACAAGACAGACACCAAAACCGCATGTCAAACCCAAAACATCAGGAGGTTACGGGGTATTTCGGAAAGTACAAATTTAGCCCCCTCATCGTAATCCGCATATGCCAAAGCGGTAACATGCAAACTCACTTACAGTCACATTCTTCCCGTGGCGAGGTGGGCGAAGTGTTGGGGACACTTTCAGTCACTGCCGCCCAAAAACCTGGAGTGACTGACTCGGGCAACAAGGGTACCATCCCTGCCGAGCCGAACCTTCTGGTGTCGTCGCCACGTCATCACGAGTCGATTGGTGCTGTGCTGACTGGCTGCTGAAGATGAAATGACTTCTGATTGCCACCCATGAAGAGCAATCCAGCTGTAGTTTTCAGCTTACGTGTCTCTGGCCCACATGGGACATGCTCCAGATAACCAAACCAAAATAGCCAATAGTGATGAATCAGCCACGTCTAAGAAATGCAGTCACCGTGTACAGTGTGCATTACGGATGCTGTACAGTCAAGTAATTCGCAGGGCAGGATTCGCTGGAATCGGTGGGGTGATGCAAACGCGAATTGAAGAATGGAAGCTGGGATCTGGATGCTGCATAGCAATGACCATTGGTTGGTTGGCACAGGTCAACGCCTGGCCTGGCCACCATGCGGTTCTTCCCCCACACTAGAGCCACCATGGCCCCCTCATCCAACCAGCTCGGCTGGATCTAAGGACTGAGAACAGGCAATCTCAATGGGATCACAGACCTTACGTGGCATGAGTCTTCTTTTCCTTAGCGCGCTGAGCCCGAACCTTCGAGAGGTGAGGCCCGGCTGCCGCTTTGGTGGCGTGTCCCTGGGAGAAACCACAGCATTCCGTACCGACAGGCCCGGTCTGTATGTCCAACCAAACCAGATGACGGACCAGAGTCGACGTGGAAAGGTCAGAACAAGGTGCAATGATGTGCATACTTCTGCCATGATGCTGTTATGAGTGCTGGCCTGGGCCCAAGGAGAGTCTCTCGCCATCGCCCTTCTTACTCCCCATCCCTCGGAGACTACGAGGTTTTCTCTCTGCTTGCTTGCTCGCCTGTCTGGTGTGTCTGGAGGAGCTGCCAGGACGGGAATTCTGCTTGCATGGAATTCAGTGTACTCCCTGACCTTTCCCTTCCTTAGTACGCGTGCCTGGCGTGTCTCCTCGGGCTTAGGCTTTTCCTACGGCCCTACACCTTGCCAAACCACCCTCGCCTGACCACGCCCAAACCTGACCAGGTTGTTCGCTGTGCCTCCTCGGGATTGGACGAGTCAGACGAGCGTCAAGCGCACTGGCAGACTTGCGCAGAACCACCAAACCGAGGCGCGCTATGACCACCACCGAGCCAACCATGGGACAGGGAAAGGCGGAGGGAGCGCAGTGGTGCTCGGCGGGTGATGCTGCTGTTCCTGTCCTGCGTTTTCAGCGCACAGCGGAGGCTGTAATTTGTCATCGCCTGCTAGTAGTAGCAGCGAGGGTTGCTTTTCTCTGTCCTGCGGAGTCAGAAGCAGTGCTTGCATCCTACGGATTATCGCAGCAGGACGCGTCTTGGCTGCGAGAAATCCGTAGAAAGACTCGACAGCGCTGTCAGGGTTCCGCCTGCATGATAGTCAGCGTCACGATTTCCCAACCTGATGTGCGCGAGAACTCTAAGAATCGCCGAATCTTCCCCCGTTTCGCGCTGTCGTCGTACGCGATATAAGGACAGATTCCACGTTTTACGAGCCGTCAATACGGCTTGGAGACGCAGGAGCTCCCTTATTGCCTGCAGAATCGTCGGAGAGAACTGTTTAAGATTTTGCCAATAAGGCCGAGGCCAGGGACCGGGGACAAGCCCACTAGCTCCACGAGCCGTCAATACGGCTTGGAGACGCAGGAGCTCCCTTATTGCCTGCAGAATCATCGGAGAGAACTGTTTAAGATTTTGCCAATAAGGCCGAGGCCAAGGACCGGGGACAAGAAACCCACTAGCTCCACGAGCGAATCCCACGAGCGAATCCCCGCTAGCGTCCGCTATTCTGGTCGGTTCACCCACTCGTCGTTTGTTTTGAACGGTTCACCCGTTCGCCGAGTCGTTGACCGTCTTGGATTTCGAATTCCCTCTCTCCTCGTTAACGGAAAGTGGGTTTTGCCGGCCAAGTGATTAAGGTCGTCTAAAGAAGACCAGCAGCGGCGATTGCGGGTGATGGAGGGAGGCAGGGGGGGCGGAGAGCGGAGCGTGCTGCAGATTGGTGGCTCAGAGACGGACGAGATCGTGAAACGAATATCGGTACAGCATCAGCCGTCGGCGCAAAAGGGGGACGAGGCTGAGGTCGACGCCAGCACATGCGGAGCTAACGGCGTCCCTGTTTCGCCACCGGATGAAGCTGCCGCGGCGGCGTCTGGCTTGCGATGCGAATTGCAACGGAGACACCAGCAGCAGCAGCAGCTGGCGGCGCAGTCTGCAGAGCCCGTTGCTCCGAATAAGGATGATACTTCGTCAGATACTCTCAACTCTACCTCTCTGGCGAAGGCGGATCAGCTCGTGACGGCGAGCGCTTTGACTGGTGCTGTCCCTGCAAACAGTGGCAGCCCTGGCTCGCAGGCAAACAACAACATTTGCAGGCGCAGCTTGGTGGCTGCCGTGGCTGTTCCCTCTCCGCACCCCGACCTGTCGCTCGAAGTTCCAGAATTTCAGGAGAATCGTTTAAACCATGGCTGTGGTACGACGGAAGGCGGAGACGAGCATGCTGGCCATGGCGTGGCTAATAATACCGCTGCCACTAGCATGGACGCTGTCACAACGACACTGACAGGGACGGCTCCTTTCGCGGGGCTGGTGGATTCCACACTCTTGAAGAGCGGCGACAGTGCTGGCGAGTCGAGCAGTGCGCATGGTGGTGAATCTGTTGGTACAGCCGAGAAGGACGGCCCAGCAGCACGTGACGCTTCGCCTCCTGCGGCAGCAGCATCTCTGCTCCACCAGGTGTCTAAACAGCCTGGTGGCAAGGTGTCTCAGAATCTTGTCGGCGAGAGTTTGGGAGTAGCAGCGGCAGCGGACACGGTGGTTGGAAGCAGCGCCAGGTGTGGCGAGGAGCCGCTGCCACCCTGTGGTGCCGCTGCTGACGTTGAGGGTGCCAAAGGCTGCGAGTTTAGCGGTGCTGCGGTTGAGCAGGCAGATGATGGCATGGCGTGTGCTGTATCACCGCCTGGTGATGGGGTGAGTGACGGGTTTCCTGCTGCTGCTGCTGCTGCTGCTGCTGCTGACGCTGCTGCTACTGGTGCGTCACCTGGCACTCTTCCAACCACTGCTGATGCTGCAGTGGCGAATAACGCTACTCCAACCATCGCTTCTACCAACCCTGGTGCCTCCAACACCACCACCACCGAAGCTGCAGCAGCAGGATCGCAGCTGCTCCCCTTCGACACAGAGCAAGTGGAGGCTGTCTACGCGCTGGCAAGCGAGGAGCTAGGCCGGGGGGAGTTCGGCGTGGTGCGAACCTGCATGCACCGCACCACCGGGCAGCTCTTCGCGTGCAAGTCCCTCGACAAAGCTCAGCTGCGGGAGAGCGCGCGAGTGGAGGACCTAGAGATGGAGCTGTACTGCATGGGCGTCATGCCGCGGCACCGCAACGTGGTGCAGCTCGCCAGCGTGCATGAGGACGCCCGTGCCGTGCACCTCGTCATGGAGCTCTGCGACGGCGGAGACCTCTTTGACCTCATAGCCAAGGCAGGGAGGCTGCCCGAGGCGTTTGCAGCGTGGATGTTCCGGCAGGCCGTGGAGGCGGTGGCGTTCTGCCATGAGTTCAACATCGCGCACCTGGATATCAAGCCGGAGAATCTGTTGATTCGGACCAGGAAGAATCTGCCTGCGGGGGGGTCGGCTGCGTCGTTGGTTCTTGCCGCGATGGGTGTGGCGCAGCAGCAGCGACAGCAGCAGCAGCAGCAGCAGGAGATGGCGAGCCTACCAACTCACACCTCTACCCACTCAGCTGCAACCGCTTCTGCAGCTGGGGAGACGAAGTGTGCACCAGCAGCAGCAGTTGCAAGGGCAGTGCCCATCCCCCCTTCCACTAACGGCCCTCCCACCAGCTCTGCCACCGCTGCTGTTATCGCTGCCAACCTCACTGCCACTGCCGCCGCCTCACTTGCAGCCGCCAACCCCGCTGCTGGCACAGGCACCCACGTCCCGGCCCCTGCTGGTACTGTTACTGGGGCTGCCACAGAGGCGGGAGCTGCTTGTGGGGTCGCTGCTGTTGACGAGGGTGCTGCTGCTGATGCTGGTGCGGGTGTGATGAGGGTCAAGAGTCCCGTGGGTGCTGCTTCCAACCACATTCTACCCAGAGCCGTTAGAGACCTAGACGTGGCATCTTGTGGTTTAAATGACGGTTGTGCCGCTGGCCTTGCCACGTCCTGTGCTGCTGCTCTGCACGCGTCTTCTGCACCCGTGCATGTTGCTGCGGCTGTCACTACCGAGCTTCCAGCACCTGCTACTGCCACTGCCCCTCCCGCGGGTGGCCCTCCAACAGCTACTGTGGCTCCCGTGGGTGCCCCTCCCGTGGACGCCCATGACCCCCCGAGCTGCAACAACAGGCACAACATCGCCAGCAGCAGCGGCAGCAAGCATGCACCGTCGCTGCTCGCCCCGTCTGCCACTACCACGCCTCAACTGGCAGGTGCTGCAGGCGCGGGTTCTGGCACGGCCGCACGCCCTGCCACGGGTGCTGCCATAGGCAATGGTGTGAGGACTAGTTCTGGCACTGGCATTCGCGCCAGCATGCCCGTGGCCATGGGAATCGGCATGGGCAGTGGCGTTGGCGTTGCTGCTGGTTCTGCTGCTGCTGCTGCTGCTGCTGGTAGCGCTGTAGGAGGAGGAGGGGCAGGAGTGCAGGGCGCGGTGCCGGCATGTCTGGCGGGGATAGAGGTGAAGCTGGGCGATTTCGGGCAGGCGGTGGTGCTGTCCCCAGGGCGCATGGCGCGCGGGCTAGCAGGGTCGTCGTTCTACATGGCGCCCGAGGTCGTCAAGGGCAGGGAGTACGGGCTCTCCGCCGACGTCTGGAGCCTCGGCGTGCTGCTCTACGTCATGCTCGCAGGTGGGACATGCATGCTGTGGGTGCTGTGGGTGCTGTGGGTGCTGTGGGTGCTGGGGGTGCTCGGGGTGCTGCTGCTGTGTCTTGGAGAGGGGAGGGGTGGGGTATGGGGGTTGGTCCTTGTTTCAACTCGTCCCATGTCTCCACCATTCCAGACTTGCTTCACCTCGCACGAATCCAGGCTTTCTCATCCCCCTCTCGCCCATCCCAAACTCCTCCCCTTGCTCCTCACCCTCCCTCCCACCCACCCCACCCGCCCCCCTTCCCCCCCACCTCCCCAGGCTACGTGCCCTTTTACGGGGACTCCCTGCGGCGCATCTTCGTGGCCATCTGCTCATCCGACCCTGACTTCTCCTCGCCGCCCTGGCCCTCGCTCTCCCTCGCCTGCAAGCATCTCCTGCGCTCCATGCTCCACCGCGATCCCCTGCGCCGCCCCTCCGCCCGCCAGCTCCTCTCCCACCCCTGGTTCTCCTCCGCCCTCCTCCCCCTCTCGCCCCCCTCCGTGCCGCGCTGCCTCTCTCCTTTCTCCTTGGCATCCTCCTTCTCCCGGCTCTCCCCGCACGCCTCTCGTTCCTCCCGCTCCTCGCTCGCGCCTCTCTCGGCGCTCTATCCGTTGACCGGCAAGCAGTCGACGGCACTGCCAGCACAGGCAACCCCCTCGCCGCTTCTCATGTCCCTCTTTTCGGGGGTGACTCTCCCGTCCCCTTCCTCCTGCCTCTCGCCCTTCCCTTCCTCCTCCTTCCCTACATCCCCGTTTTCCTCCTCCCCTCTGTCGCCCGCCCACTTCCCCGTGTCTCCATTCTCCTCTTCCTCCACATCGTCCCATTATTCATCCCAATATTCGTCCCATCTCTCTTCCACTTTCCCTCCCCTCGTCACATCTCTCCTATCCCCGGCCCCTTCCTCCTCACCTGCCACCTTCCCTGCCTCCTCCTCCTCCTTCACCCCCTCCTCCATGTCCCGCTCCTTCCTGCCCAACGCCTCTCTCACGGGTTACCAGTCGTCCCGCTTCCACCCCAACTTCCCTCTTCCCACGGGAGCAGCTGCAGCTGCTGCTGCAGCCACTGCTGCGGTTGCGGTGGCTGCTGGGTCATCGCACATTCCCTTGCGTGCCGTGGATGTGCGTATGGACGTCGACCCGGTTATCCTCCATCCCACTGCTGCTGCTGCCAGCGCTCCTGCAACTGTCGCGCTTGGTGCTGCCGCTGAAGTTGGTACTGCTGCTGTTGCTGCTGCTGTGCCGCCTCCTGTAGTTGCAGGGGTGGAGTCTGCTCCTTCCGGCGCTGGTATCTCCTCGCTGCCTCGCCTATACCCATCCTCCTCCTGCCTCGCTGCCTCTCTTCCTTCGCTCACACCACCAGCCATCACCCCATCCCTCCCGCTCTCTCAACTGCTGCACGCAGTTCTACCAGCTATGACGCCACCAGTCACAGTACCCGGAGCCACAGCTGCAGCACCTGTGGGGGCTTCTGCTCTTGCTGCTGCAACAGATGCTGCCGCCGCTGGTGCCACGGCCTCTGCTGCTGCTATTGGTGAGGGTGCCACTGCCAGTGGTGCTGGTAAGGCGAATGAGATCCCCCCTCCATTCGCATTCCCGGCCCCTTGCGCTGGCAAGGCACGACACACTGCTAGTGTTTGCTGTGCACCGCTGCTTGAACCTGCTCTGAGGCTTCCAGCCCTGGTGCACAGGGAGGGGGACATGTGGCGGGGAGCAGGGGAGGAGGGTAAGGAGGGGGAGGGCGGCACGTGGACCGACGTTTGCGCTGTGGTAAATGCTGATGGTTTGGGTGGTGAAAATGGTGGCACTGGTTTGGCTGATGGGTGTGAGATGTATAGTATGAGTGCGTACCTAGACGCCATGCTTGATGCAGCAGGTGAGATGAGTGGAGATGGAGGGGTACACGCAGGAGAACAGGTTGCTGTCGACACCCCCAAGGGCGCATTGGGCAGTGCGGGGCAGTGCGCAGCTGCTGCTGCTGGCCCTACCCACGCTGATTGTCGCGTCGCTGTTGGTGCGTCCTGTGTGCCGTCTTCAGGTGCAGTGGACATGGCAGCGGATGCTGTTACGGATACGGATTGTGCTCCAGTGGATGGACCTATGCTGGCAGGCGCTGCAGCAGGCATGGCGAGCCCAAAGAGAAAAGCAGAGGCGGAGGCGGAGGTGGGGGCAGAGAGTGAGGGAGAGGGAGAGGAGGGGATGCGAGGGCAAGCGATGCAGGGAGGTGCTGCTGTTGCTGCTGGCGGCACACCAGAGCCTTTCATGGGGAGAAGTGGAGATGGTAGCGCTTCTATGGGCCCTAGCACGGATGCGTATGGCAGTGCTACCAGCGGGAGCACGGACGCAGCAGCAGCAGCAGCAGCAGCAGCAGCAGAGGAGGAGGAAACGGAGATATCCCTTGAGATCGCCCAGGCGCTGAGCCACGCAATGGAGCACGAGCCAGACGAGGAACACGAGCACCTTGGGGCCGACCTGGGCCGCACCCTCTCCCAAGACCTCTCCCACGCGCTCGAGCATGAGCTGACACACGCGCTTAGCCAGGAGCTAGCCCATGCACTGGACCACGCGGGTGATCATGCGAGCGGGGAGGGGCATGGGTGGGAGGGTGGGGCGGTGGAGGGTAGTGCGGCTGGAGCTATCACGGACTGGGCTGGTCTCGGAGCAGGGATGGGGCTTGGGGACGTGGATACTTCTCCTGTTGCTGCTGACGCTGCTGAACGTGCTCTCCCTGGTGCCACCGCCTTTTCTGACGCTGGTTTTGCTGCATCTGGTGCTACCAGTGCTTCTGAACTTGGTGGGTTGGGTGGTAAACGACTGGGAGCAAGCAGGGTGACAGGAGGCGGGATGGGCGGCACGAGGCGTGGGCCGGGCACGGAAGCTGCTGAAGCCGTTGCTGTTGGGAAGCAAAGGCAGGCGGGGCGGAGGGGAATGTCAGGAGGAGCGGCAGGAGGTGCGTGTGAAGTGGCTGTGGTGTCTCAGCGTGTGCTGTCCCACCGTGCCATAGCGTCCCGCGATGGGTGCTCGCCTGTTCCGGTGGTGGTGGCACAGGAAGGTGAGCAGCACTGGACGTGGGGGAGGAGACGAGGTCGAGCTGGTTCCCGTGCTGCTGCTGTTGCTGCTGCTAGCGCTCCCGCTGCGGCAGCTGGTGAGAAGAGCAGCAGTAGCAGCAACTGCGGCAGTGAGTCACACGGTCAGCAGCCCCTGCAGTGGGCACGGCAGCAGCAGAGTCAGCAGCATGAGAGGCGTCGTTGCAGGAGGAAGTACAGCCCTGGCGAGCTCGCACCTGCCTCTGCTGCCACCGCCCCCCCTGGCGTCATAACCCAGCCGCATACACTCAACCAGAACTACAAACCATCACCTGCTCATGTCGCCGCCACCCAACCGCCTCCGAAGCTGTCCCCTTGTGCATCTGAACCCGTTTCTCCCTGTTTCACTCCTGCTTTTCCTGCCACTGCCACTGCCTCAGCTGCCACTGCTGCCACAGCTGCCACAGCTGCCAAGGCTGCCATGGGCGCCCATTCTCCCGATGGTGGTCTGCTGGACGTGCCTGTGATGATGTGCGATGAGCCGCGCTCCTGGCCGCGCCTCTCCCACCTCCCCCCACTGCAAATGCACTGTGCACCGCTGCAGAACCCGCAGCACAAGGTGAACCGTGGATACCAGTCGCCGCCGCAGCAGCAGCAGCAGCAGCAGCAGCAGCAGCAGCAGCAGCCGCAGCAGCAGCCGCAGCAGTACCAGCAGCAGCAGCAAATGCTGCAGCAAGAGGAGGTGCCTGTTCTGGTGACCCCACCTACCACTGCGACTCCTGCTCCTGCACCTACTCGTGTCCTGCACGGACAGGTGACGAATGGCGCTCTTACGGGCAGAGCAGCCAGCAGCACGGTGAAGCACACAGCTGCAGGCGTGGTGCATCTGCTCTCGCTCCCCTCGCCCGCCGCCCTCACTGGGAGGGCATCTGGGAGGCCAGGGACTGCAACAGCAGGAGTGGCGGCGGCAGGCAGGGCTGGAGGATTGGGGTCGCCGCCTACAGGACCGTGCATCCGCGCTGCTGCCCTTCCTCATACTCACGCTGCTGCTGCTACTGCTGTGGCAGATGGCCTTTGTGCTGCCGTCTCTGCTGCTGCTGGTGGTAGGGTGTCCCCCCTGCACGCCCGCCGCCCTCCCATGCTCGTGATCCCACAATCAGACACCCTGGGCTGCCAGGAGGAGGACCAAGTGCAGGGGGTGATGGCATGGGGAGAGCAAGGGGGCATTGGAGGAGCTGCAGGAAGAGCAAGGGGCGTGGGGCTGGCAGGTGGGGTAATTTGCAGGTCTCTCAATCCGTGCTGTATGGATGACTCCCCACCCCTGCCGCCTCTCCGCCACAACCCGGAGGATGTTTACTCTTCTTGTCTCCCCCTGTCGCCCTGTCCTCCCCCATCGCACCCGTCGCCCCCTGTGCCCTCCCCGTGGCCTGTCACTCCTTCCCCTGCTACCCAAGTTTCGACTTACATGGCAGTGGGAGCAGCAGGAGGGGTCACAGGGTGGAAGGAGGGCAGGGGGGGGCACGTGGCTGGTGCTGGGAGGGAAGGAGTTGGGGAGGGGTGGGTGGGAGAGGCAAGGGTGGGAGGGGCGGAGGGGGAAGGGTTGGGGGAGCTGAGTGGCGTGGAGGACGAGTGCGTGGCTGACATGGGTTACGGGCACTTGGGAGATCTGATGGGCGCACAGGATGACGAGGGCGCGGAGCTGGGCATGGGCATGGGCATAGGCATGGGCTTGGGGGGGGGATTTGGCATGGTTACTGGCATGGCAGCAACTGAGAGGTTGAGTGGGATGTTTCGGGGTAAGGTTGATCCTCGCATGGTGGGGGGTGGCGTGGGAGGAGGCAGTACGGGCGAGAGCGGAGGGGCGAGTGGAGAGGGGGCGAGTGGAGAGGGGTCGAGTGGTGAGGGCATGGATGGTATGGATGGCATGGGCATGGCGACGGATGTGGACATGGATATGAGCATGATGGAGATGATCGGCGTGGCAGAAGGGTGAGGGACCCCGCATTGCCATGGAGGTGGGGCGGCGGAGGAAGGAAGGGTGAGGCGGCTTTGCTTCTGCATTCGTTGGGGTGTTGTTGGTGTTGTGGATCCGTTGTGGCTGTTGTGGCCATTGCGGCGGCATTGGAGCGGAGCGGAGCAGCATGGGGTGGTTCAAGCCTGCTGTATGCAGGCAGCAGTGTGGGGGTGGCAGATGTGTGGGGGGTGTAGCCTTGCCAGCAGGGTGGGGAAGAGGTTTGACGAGTGCTTGGTGGTGGGAACGGGAGGGTAGGAGGAGGAGAGGGAGGGGGGGGGGGGGGAGAGGGGAGAGGTTAAATTTGTGTGCGCCCCTGTTTTTCCTGGTCTACCAGTGCAGGTGCGCAACACAGTGCTTCGACAGTGTGTGCTTTCGTTTGGCACCTCAATGTTGGGGGGTGTGAGATAGATAACCCAAGAAGGGGAGGGGTTGAGTAGGTTGGGGAGATACGGCACCTAGGACAGCTGAAACAGGAGGAGGGGAGGAGATGAGAGGGTCAGGGCCTATTGCTTCTGAGGATTAGAGTACAGTAAGCCTCGTTTCATGCACATTTGCTGCTGGCTCTGCCCTCTTTTGGTGGTCCAGCCAGCAGACCTTGGTTGGTAGCACTTTGCTCCGAATGCTCTTGCGACGAGTAAGCAGGCATGCCCATCCGTCTGTGCTTGTTGTAGATAGTATCTTTTTGAGGCAGCTAAGGACGTTTGGCAATCAATCTGGAATAGGGTCATCACTGATCAGTGACACTTCATAGTATGCCCATTCCCTGCAGCTGGATGACACCCATTACCACTACAACATACAGCCATAATCTACCTGCAGTGGAGCAACCATGTGCTGCATGAAATTCAGTTTGATGGCGCTTGAGCTGAATTTTGTGAGGCACCTTCATGACCCTAGCGTTTAGACTGGTGGAGGGTGTAGATCGGGCCAGGGTACTCCGTTCCATGTGGCAATCAATTTGCCAGTAGAATGTTCCATAAGCTAAGTTTGGAGGTAGTTCCCATTCCATCCCATTGCTGCTTGATTTCCATACCATTGTATTTCCTGTACACAATCAGCTGCGCATCTCGCACACACAAGGCCAAAGCCATCCCATGATCCCATCCCATCCATCACCCATGCAATGCAATGCACCGCTCGCCAGCACCACGCACACCACACAACGCCGAGCCAGCCAAGCTCAGCCAAGCTACTCTACTCCTTCCTCTCCTCTTTCCTTCCACTAAAAAGCACGCAACGCAACTGCCCCGCCGCCCAGAAGGGGTACACGAAACCAGCCGCACGCGTGCACGCCCCGCCAGCTGCTCCCTCCCGCCACTACCAGCACACAATCCGCCTTTCCCTCCCAAGAACGTGGGTTTGGCGGCTTTACCGCCTTCACTAGCTTTACCCGCGTCACGCGGAGGGCGGGCCGACGACGGCGATCATGTAGACAAAGAGCCCGACGATGACGCCGAACCCCGCGTACGTGAACCGCGCGTCCGTCCACACGCGCAGCACCCGCTTCTCCGTCACGCGCAGCGGATCCACCTCCTCCGATAGCGGGTAGTCCGCGCGCTGCGGCTCCCGCGACACGTACTGCTCCATGTGCGAAAACAGCCCGCCCATGGGGGCGGGCGCGGGGGGTACACGCGCGGAAGATGTCCGCCCGCCGACGCTGCTGCTAGCGCTGCCGCTGCTGTCGGTTCCCGCGGCCGCGCTTCTGCCCGGCTGTCGCGGCTGCTGGGATTGCGCGGGAGCCGCCTTCTTGTACGCCGCCCACGCGTTGTCCCAGTCCGATGGCGGCTTCCACGCGCCTGACGGGCCGGAAAGCGTTGGGGGAGGGGGAAGGGGGAAGGGGGAAAAGGGAAGGGGGAAGGGGGAAGGGGGAAAAGGGAAGGGGGAAGGGGGAAGGGGGGAAAGGGAAGGGGGAAGGGGGGAAAGGGAAGAGGGAGGGGGAAGGGGGGAAAGGGAAGGGGGAAGGGGGAAGGGGGAAAGGGAAGAGGGAAGGGGGAAGGGGGGGAAGGGGGGAAAGGGAAGGGGGAAGGGGGAAGGGGGGAAAGGGAAGGGGGAAGGGGGAAGGGGGAAGGGGGAAGGGGGAAGGGGGGAAGTTGAGATGAGGAACAGCTTCGGCGGGACGAGTATGACCGAAGCGGCGATTAGCCAGTTGAGAACGTTTTAGTTCCACACACTACGCAGACGTGCCTAAATGAGCTCGCACTCACCCTGCCCGCTGCCCTCGTCGCGCCCCTCGTTTCCGCCGCCCTGCGCGCGCACTGCCCCGCGGCGAGCGGGGAGCACTGGCATCGCAGCGCCGCTGCTGGCATTCGGCAAGGGCGAGGAAAGCGCTGCGAGCGAGCCGAGCGCATTCAGCGACGCGGCTGAGGAGAGCGACGCCATGGCTTGGGAGGAGACGGTTCCGACTGCTCGGATGGAAAAAAGAAGCCTGGACAGGGAGACAGCGGGGAGTCGATTCGCTGGGAGAGGGAAAATGGGCGAAAGAAAGCGGGACGTGAGAGAGCTGCCAAGCAGAGAGGCACTTTGTGGGTTCCGTCAGTAGATCGACGAATCCGTAAGTGCAACTCAGCTACGCAAGGAGGTGAGTGTGGCAGGGAGCGTAGGGTGGGGGATGGTGTGATGTGAGGTGTGTTAGAGCTGGGGTTGGCTTACTGGGGTGATGGTGTGTTGTGAGTCGTGAGTTGTGACTGGGGAGCGGCGAGCCAACCAAGCCAATTCCAAGGCAAGGGAATGGCGAGGGGGGTGGTGGAAGTAGAGGAGGTGCCGCTGTTGGGAGAGATGTGGCGTGTTATGAAGTATTTGAATGCGTTTTAAAGCGGTTTAGACTTGTGGTGGTGGTCACACGGCGCGGAAATTGGCCCACACGGGGGACATGTCTCAAGAGGGGTGGAGCCACACGCGGTCGGCGAGGGCCGAAGAAGACTGACCAATCGTCGCTTGTTTGTGTGACTCTGATATTGTCGACCTGACCTGGCTTTCATGTGCGATTTGTGGCCGAGGGGTGGTGCGGTTGGGCAGGAAATCAAGTATTGGCAGTTGAGGTTCACTGAATCCTCCACGTGGCAGTGCATGAACAAGAGAACCGACATACATCATACCTGCCATGAACTACACGCAGTGATCCCCAAGTAGTGTTATGATGGGCAGTCATCACTAGCGGAGCCAACCTAATCGAGGATGAAACAGTGTACTACACCCAAAAGAAACAACCACTTAAACTGCGACATCTTCACTACTAATAATAACTTCACACAGTGTATTATTCATCCTTTGATCTAGGGTAGTTTCCAAAATACCCGGCGGAAGAAATATGGCTGGCAAGTTCCACTGTTGCCGTTGTCTTCTCTGGAAACAGTTTGGGCCATGTTCTAGAAACGGGGGTGCGGTTGCCCGTGCTAGAAACAGAAGTAATGCGGGAAGCTTTTGTGAGCGAACCGAGACGTGACTGACTCGGGCAACAAGGGTATGGCCCTTACAGAAATTCGACAACAAACACAGAATAACTGTTTCAGTGTGAGGGGCGTGCTATTCGATTCCACCCTACTCTGCCTGTAGAACTAGACACAATCATTTGGGGTTACCTTCACCCCAGGACTCGATCCGTGCTGAGCGTGTTTGACTCGAAACTTTCCAGGTTGTGAAAATGTCGCAATCCAGGTGGCGCTTGCCACCCACAACCCACCCCCCCCCCCCCCCCCGCTTCCCCTCCCCCCTCCCCCCGCCCCACCCCCAACCCTGATTGCCCTTGCATTGTTGGAGCCATCCTACAGCCGATTGTGTATGCCACCTGACATGGGGACAGAAGTGACCAGTGGTTGACATTACACCGCGACCTCTGCCTTAAAATTAATTGGCCAAGAGGTCAACCTAACCAATATTTTCTCACGATTGGATTGGAGAATGGTACAAGGGCCGCATATTGACAACCGCTAACTTGCTTTGACAATCAGTCGCATGGGCTGCCCATCACAACGGCGATTTTGCCTCTTGTTGGGAAACCCCTGGACATTTGGGCTGTTAAAAAAAAACACATAGACGGGACCACAAACACTTCTGGTCAGGTTTGTTGAATCACACCAGATTGTTTCTGTACACCATTCCATCCCACCCTCCGGGATCGAGATTTGGGCACGAAAAAAAGCAGGTGATGTGATGCATAACGGGGCAGGCGGAATGGGTTGCGCCAGTTTCTCGACATGGCATGCGAGGCTGCGAACGAATGGTTTCATCATGGGACCCGGCCGTCACCGTCAGCGACAACAGCCAAGAAGGGCTACTGATTGCCCCCCGCACAGTGCCCCGTAAGGCACGCGTCCGAACCAGATTCCAAGCCAGCCCATCCAACCAACCAGCGACTGCATGGCAGCTTGGCAAGGCCAGGGTCTACCACAGCGCACATGCACGCCACACCACCCGTCAGGACCGCCAAACCGCATTTAAGGAGAGCCGAACCGATCAACGCCCGTTACTCAAACTGCCCTGCCTCTCAACCAGGCCTCTTGCTATCAGGGTAATTACTCTTAATGTCAAGAAATTAAGAGTAACTTTTCAAGTGATTTCGTTTATTTACTGTGTGATTTTTTTCCGAATCCATCCAACTTACGGAAACAATTTCGCGCGATTCCTTAGCCTAACGAGTAACTTTTTTTTTCGAATGCGTACGGGCCATACTTGTAGCAGGGCAATCTGTAGGGGTAGCGAACGCCCACCCCACACCCCCCTGCCCCCCCGTTCTCCCCCTCCCCCGTTCTGTAGGGGTAGCGAATTTGTAGCGGCCGATTCCTTTCGGAAACGGGTTTTTTTTGGGGAATTCCGTTTGTTAACGGGCGATCCTGAGGCGATTCCGTCCCCTTCCGGAATACCCTGGGGCTTAGCGAGAGGACTCAATCATCCTTTTCGCGCCATCCCAACCGGTTCTCACCGCGATGTACCGTATCATGAACAGCCACCACGAACAAACGGTGCAGGTGGTCCACTCCACAATCGGGATTTCTTTTCCGGTCGCGCAACGCAAGCCAGAACTGCCACAGCAAGGGCAGGCACGCAGCCACCAAATCCCCCTCCCCCCCACCCTGCCCCACCCAACCAAGGATTTTCATTCCCCAAGCTGCCTGTGTCCATTAGATGTCGTTCTCCCTTGGCTCAACTTACCTGATCCCCGTCCGCATATCGCGGCAATGCAAGAGATCAGACTTCTGAACCCTAGCCTCACGAGTGCAGCGCGGCCACTGCTTGAGCGCATCAGTGCGGAGAACCCTCTGTTCCACCAACCATCTAAGGCAGTAGGCCCTCCACGTCACACCTTTCCTACCGTCACTGCCAATGACCTTAGTTCTGGTAATACTGCCGACCGATTCCCAGGTCAGGCATTAGTCACGCTTTTGGAGTCCTTGTGACAGTATCGCACCGCACTGTAGAAGAAACAGTATGTCGTCGTCTACGTCCGCAACCCTCGCGTCGTCAGCAGCAGCCGCAGCAGCAGGAGAGTTCTGTAGCCCCCGCTCCTCCTCTCCTTTCGTCTCCCCCGCCCGTATGCACGCCCCTTTTCTCGGCCCTAACGTGCCGTCTCAAGTCGCCCAATCCCTCGATATTCCCGCCACGCCCTCTTCCCCCGCCATCCCTCCCCCCACCCCCGACGACGCCGCTCGCCGCCTAGCGCTCCGCCTTCTAATGGGGACGAAACCCTCCGCCGAGTGCCTCTCGCCGTGTCGCACTCCTCGCGGTGGCGGTGGAAACGGTGGCGGAAGGAGCGAGAGGAGGAACGAGCGGTGCCAATGGCGCAGCTTCTCGCTGAAAGAACGGCCCGGAGGGGGGGACGACTGGCCCGCGCGACTTGCGGGGGAAACTGCCGGTGAGAGTCCGCGGAGGGGAATCGGGGCGAGATCTCCCACGCCAGGGGGGAGTTGGCGGTACGTGAGCGGCAGCGGCGGGGGGGACGCAGCGGAGGGAGCGTGGTCAGGAGGCGACGAGAGCCGTGCGGGCGATTCGGACATGGAGGGGAGTGGGGAAGAGGGGGAGCGGGGAGATTACGGGGAGGAAAGGGAAGAAGCGGAAGAGGCGGAGGAGGAGGAGGATGAGGATGAAGAGCCGGAGACGCCGTGGCGGCAAAGCAGTAGCGGCACCCATCTGAACGGTTGTAGCGGCGGCAGCGGCGGTGGCGAGTGGGGGTCGGGGGGCGGCGGCGGCGGGGGGCAGTGCGGGGCGAGAAGGGCGGGGTCCAAGTGGTTTCCAATCTCCGCCTCGCTGTCGTCGTCGTCGCCGGCTCTCGCGGGCTCGTTCCATGACCGCGTGCAACACGCGCAGGAGCGACACAGGCAACTGCAGCAGCAGCAGCAGCAGCAGCAGCAGCAGCAGCAGGAGAGTACGGCGGGCATAAGCAGAGTGCGATCCTTTCTCGAAACCCTCCAGCGACCGAAGACCGCGCCTGCCTCGGAAGCAGTCGACGCCGCCATGCGTAGTAGAAGCGCGAGCAGTGCCACTGGGAGCGGCAGGACCTTCCAGCCGAGCAACCTTCGACAGCAGCAGCAGCATGCCCCCGGCGACGGCTCGGGCGGACATGGTGGCGCCATCATGCGGCTCGAGAGCGACACGTCAGACTTCGCCGGCGCCGACGTGGATGGGTGTATGGATAGCAGCGGCACGGACGGCGTCGGCGTCGGCGGCGGTGGCGGAAGCAGCGGGAGCAGCAGCGACGGCAGCCCGCGATCGGCGGCCGCGGCGACGGAGGAGGTGTGGGCTCTGTCGAAGCAGGTCGCGGCGCTGCAGCGACAACTGGCCGACGCCTCGGCTGCTAACTGCGAGCTGCTAGGTACGGCGATCGGACCGTGCGGAAATAGGCAGAATTTGACGCCGATCGTTTGGAGAATTCTAGGGAATTGACGCTGTTCGCTGATGAGTCTATTTTTGAGGCGCCTCAAAAATAGACTCCTCACGTCTAGGAAACTGACGCTGTTCGCTGATTACGTCTCGCAGGCATAATGCGCCTGATTGCCGTCGTTCGGTGCTCGCGATTCTGTTTTCAGCCTGCCGTCCGTTGAGTCGACTCTTCAGTCGTCGACGCTTTAGCCCATCCAGCATTCAACGAGCAGTCCTCACCGCCTCTACTCCCCCTTCCCCCCTTCCCCCTTCCCCCCTTCCCCCTTCCCCACTTCCCCCGCTCTCGCGATTCCCACCCTCTCCCCCTCGCTCCGCGTATTTCAGATCGCGTGGAGCGCAAGTCACAGGCGCTGGCAGAGGCTGAGGCGCGCCTTAAGGACATGCAGCAGTCGCTGCGCGGCATGGAGTCCGCGGCGCGCGACGTCGAGGCCAAGCTGCGCGACGCGCGCGCGGAGGTGCACGCGCTGCGCGAGGCTCAGGCGGAGCGCGACGCGGCGTGCGCGGAGCGCAACGCGATGGCGGCGGAGATGGAGGCGGCGCTCAGCTCGTGGTCGCGCGCGCTGGACGAGGCGAAGGACGCGCGCGAGGAGGCGCAAGAGGCGGCGGCCGCCGCGGCCGCCGCGCGGCAGAAAGTGGCGGAGGCGGAAGCGGAGAATAAGCGGCTGTGGCAGGTGATGGACCTGCTCATGGCGCAGCAGAAGGCGCGCGGAGGGGGCGGGGGCGGCGGGGGAGGCGGAGGAGGCGGAGGAGCTGTAGTTGGGGGCGCAGGAGGCGGGAAGGCAGTCCTTGATCTACTAGCGAGGAAGGAAGCGGGGAGTGGTAGCTGTAGTAGGGGGTATATGGCAGGAGCGAGCAGCGGAGGGGCGGTTGGGGGGGCGAGTGGTGGCGGTGGCGGCATGAGCGCTGCTGGGCTACGATCCGTGCTGGAATCCCTGCGCTCCGCCTCTGGCACCGACTCCCACCGCTCCTCACCCACTCGCACCTCCGCTGACTCCTCCTCCCGCCCTGCATTTGCGGCTGCCGCTGCTTCAGCCAAGGCTGCTGCAGGCTCCGCTGCTGCTGCTGCTGCTGCGAGCCGTCCCATGGACGTGCAGCAGCAGCTGCAGGCGCTGCTGCAGCAACGGCACCAGCGGCAGCAGAAGCAGCAGCAGCAGCAGCAGCAGTTGCAGTTGCAGCAGCAAGGGGTAGAGCAATACAACGTGTGCAGCAATCAGCAGCAGGAGCAAGAGTACCAGCAATGCCAGCACAGGGCTGCTGAATCGCCGTGGGTGCTGCGAGGCATGGATGCCGCTGCTGCTGTAGCAGGCGGGTCGCCTAGGGAACGACGAGCATGCAGAGCAGCAGCAGCAGCAGCAGCAGGAGGAGGGGGGGGAGGAGGATTAGGAGGAGAGGGAGAGAGAGGTGCGGCAGCAGCATCGGCACTAGGGGACACTGTGGTGAGGAGCAGATATGCATCGGCGAGAGTGTCAGCAGCAGCAGCAGCAGCAGCAGCAGCAGCAGGAGAAGGGAGAGGTGTTTGTGGTGGTGGCAGCAGAATAGCACGGCAGCAGCTGCAGCAGGTGCAGCAGCAGCGGGGGCAAGTCAGTGTGATGTATGGGGAGAGCGGGGTGGGTGTGGGTGGGACAGGGGCCATGCGAGTGGCCGGGCTAGAGAAGAGCATGTCGTGTGCGTGCTAGCCTGCTAGCCTGCTAGCCTGCTAGCCTGCTGCTACCGCACACCCACTCACCCTCCCCTACCCTGCGCTTCTGCTGCTAACCCACCCCTACCCCCATCCCACGGCAACCATGGCTGGGATGGGATGGGAGGTACTGTTTGGCTGGTGTTGGTGCCAAGTGCAATCCTTGGATCGGGCGCTGCGGCAGTGCTGCAGGTGGGGAGGTGGGGAGGTGGGGAGGTGGGGAGGTGTGATGCGGTGCTGCACAGGTGATGACGAGGAGGGGTTTGAGAAGCGGAGAGCTATGTGCAATCTGCAATGTGCAGCATCGAGGGACAGGTGTAATGAAGTGTGCTGCTACGGTGTATGTGCAAGCGGAGGGGGCACAGTGGTGGGGAGGAAGGCGGAGGCGCTACCTACTACCAACCATCCTCCATGTCTGCTCAGTGGTGGAATGGTGAAAGGAGGTGACCTGGATGCGCGTGCGGTCAGCCTATCACATCACATGCGCATCATTGATTAGCAATAGTGCTGGTACCTTGACCATACGTCCACCAGCCATTGTGCCTGCTATGGTGCTAAGCACAGGGGCATGTGGTGGTGAGGTAGCTGTACAATGTAGTGATGCATGCATTACAGTTAGTCAACGTTTTGTTTAGCATGTATGGACCGCCAATAAGCATTAATATCAAAAGATTACAATGAAACCACTGATGAAGCACAACAAACAACCACTCTGCCAACCCACCCCTCCTGTCCTCCGACCATCTCCCTCCCCCTCAATTGCCAGCCCTTCTCCCCTTCCTTCGCCTGTCAAGCCCACCACCACCACCACCACCACCCATTCCCCCACCGCCCTCACCCTCACTCTCCTGACATGTCCCTTTGGTCTCCCCTATGGCTGCTGCTGCTGTTGGAGGTACTGCGTGAGGCGCGCCTTGAAGAGCGCAGGCACGCGTGTGGGGCGGTACGCCTTGTCCAGGAACACCACCGTCGCCTGCCCCTGCAGCACCACCTGTGGGGTAAAACGGGGGGCAAAGAAAGCTGCGAGACGTGAGTACAAGGTGAGGCCAAGAGGAGCAACCAACCAAGAGGTGGGGCTTCACTTTGTTCGTGTCCTGTGGTGATCTACGTGCTGGCGCTCCTCCTCCCGACTTCCTTGTGAAATCCATCCTCACCCGTCCCTCGTCACCCGTCCCTCCTCACCCGTCCATCCTCACCCGTCCATCCTCACCTGTCCCTCGTCACCCGTCCCTCGTCACCCGTCCCTCGTCACCCGTCCATCCTCACCCGTCCCTCCTCACCCGTCCCTCCTCACCCGTCCATCCTCACCCGTCCCTCGTCACCTGTCTGTCCGGCAGCCTGTAGATGGTGTGCTCGATGAAGACCCGCGCTGCTGTGGTGCCCGACACCCGCGCCGTCACCACAAACTCATCCCCGCTCTGAGACACACAGGTAGGTGGGGGGCAGGAGGGGCAGGAGGGGCAGGAGGGGCAGGAGGGGCAGAGGAGGGAGGGAAGAGAAAATGGAGGGACCCAATCAGAGAGCTAATTAGTGAAAGGATGAAGGGCGCAGAGTTGAAGGTGAGGGTGTGTGGGGGAAAGGACCAAGAGAGTGGAGCATTGTGGTAGAGCATCGGTTAGATGAGAAGCGCATGATGCAGGTACCAAGAGAGCCGTCTACACCTCACCCCCCTTGTCCCCACCCTGATCATCAGAGAGCCGTCTCCCCCTCTCCCCCTCTTCAACACCCCCCTCCTCCCCTACTAGCCACCTCTCCCCTCTCCAATCTCTTCTTGCCCTACCGACTCCGCACAACTTGCCTTCACCTTGACTAACGACTCACAACTCACAATCTACCTAGGCACTACCACCCTGGCAGCAGCACGACACTAGGGTAGCCCCCATGCAGTGCCGCTCACCTGCAGCACGTCGAGGTACCGTTTTGAGTCAACTCCCGTTTAGCTTTCTTCCGTCAAGAGTCACCTGGCGCTCACCTGCAGCGCGTTGAGGTATTTTTTTTAGTCCACTCCCGTCTAGCCCGCCTCCCTAAAGGCCACCTGGCGCTCACCCGCAGTGCGTTGAGGTACTTGAGTGAGAGCTCTGCAAGGGCCAGTGCGTCCCCCGTGGCCGCCACCTCGTCTGCCGCCAGCCCGATGGACGCCAGGAACTCGTGCCGCACTGACGGGTGAGGGGGTGCACAGCGCATGGGCAGCGGGGTTGGGGCGTGGGGTTGGGGCGTGGGGTTGGGGCGTGGGAGGGATGGAAGCCAGTAGGGGAGCAAGGAGGGGCGCATGCATGGTGGATGGTTCATGGGCTAGTGCAAGCCCATGCACGGCTCACAGCACCACGCACCTTGCAAAGGCACCTTCTCCCCCTCATACCCCCCACCCCTTTCCCCCCATTCCCCTCTCCCCCCCCCCCTTCCCCCTTCTCGCCTCACCGTGCTGGCAGTAGCTGGCGTACGTGGCGTTGTTGACCACGCGGTACTGGTCCAGCTCGTAGTCGCGCACCTTCATCGCCACCTCAAACGGCTCGCGCATCCTGGGGGGGGGGACGCAGGGGGAGGGGAGGGGGAGCACAGTGGGAGCGCAGGGGAAGGGGAGTGGGGGGGATACAGGGTGGGTTGGGGTTGAGTGGGAAGGGGGAGCAGAGGTAAGCTTGTGGAGATGAGCAGGGAGAACGGGGAAGAGGCATAGAGAGAGGTGGGGGCGAAGGCACTGAGAGAGAGAGAGAGAGAGAGAGAGAGAGAGAGAGAGAGAGAGAGAGAGAGAGAGCGAGAGAGAGAGAGAGAGAGAGAGAGAGAGAGAGAGAGAGAGAGAGAGAGAGAGAGAGAGAGAGAGAGAGAGAGAGAGAGAGAGAGAGAGGAACGTATTTTTGAGGCGCCTCAAAAAGGGGAACGACAGGTGCAGCATATGAAGCGCATGAAGCTGAGATGAAGACCTCACTCTTCTCCATTTGCCCTTTCCACTCTGCACCCTCGTTCTTTAGACAGCCAATTACTGCATCCTACTCATTCCCTCACTCACGCACCCGTTACCTCTCGCCCGCACACCCTCATTCACTCACTCACTCACTCACTCCAGGCTGCCCAAAGGCTTAGCGGCTTCGGTATTGGACCGCCGATCTCCCGCGTCCCCGCCTTCCCCGCCTTCCGCCCTCACAGCCGCTCGCGCTGGTCTGCACCCCCCCACAATGCTGCGGAAGGTCGAGGGGAAACCGCGCGGATGGCGGAGTTCCGCTGGCGATTGGCGGCAAGGCTTGAGCGCAGCATGGGGGGAATGCGACTGGGGAAGGGGATGGAGCGCAGCGCCCGCGGTGGTTTGCACAGCGGCGGAATGGCGCGTATTGTGAGGGGAGAATGGAAGGCGGCGGAGGGAGGCGCCAACGGGGGGAACGGCGCAGGCTATGCGGGTAAGCGGAATGCGCGCCATGCAGAGGCAGTTGGGGCTGGGGAGGCCAGGTGTGATGGACGACCCCCGGGCAGCAGACGGGTGTGATGCGGCAGAGTAAATTCGACGAGTGGACGGGACGGGAGCAACCAGGGATAGCAGTAGTGTACAAGTGTTGCAGGGCTCGTGCTGTTTCTCGAGCATAGATGGGAGGGATTTCAGCGAAACATGCCAATGTGCACTTCACTAAATAATATAATCCAAAAGTTTATGTTTCCATAATTCTCTTAGAAGCCCACAATTAGATTATCTTTGGATGTTGCGCCCTTTTCACTAAAACAATACATTTCACTATAGTAATATAATAGTCGTTACAGGGGTAAATTATTACATACAGCGGACGTCAATATTGGCGGGCGCCTTCGCCACGCACTTCGAACATCTAGCTGGTACAAGACAGGCTTACATGTTACAGCACAACACAAACACACAGGCAGCTGAGACAGGTGTGAGAAACCATAGGAAAACTGAGGGTGCGGAAGGTGGAAACGGTGAAGGGCGGAAATGGAGGGAGGGAATGGATGGGAGGGGAGGGGGGGAGATTCGGGATGAGGGATGAGGGGCGATCAGCGCAAAACGGACACGGGCGGAGGCCCGCAACAACGTCGGGCGCGGAAAGACTCCACAGGAAGCACGGACACGCCATGCGATGCTCAAACCGACGCCTTCGTGACAGTCGCAACGCTACCACCCGTCGTAGCGTAAGTAGTACTTGTAGTAGCATGAGTCGTCGCCTTGCTCCTGCTCGTTTCCAACTTCGCCACCACCTTCGACACCTTGGCTTCCGCCTCGGCCGCCACCGCCGCCGCTTTTGCCGCCGCAACGGCCGCAAGCTCGTCCTCGCGCCGTTCCGCAACAGCCGCAGCCTTCACAGGCGCCATTTTCCGCGATTGCCGCGAACCGCCGGCTACGACTGCGGACGACGTCGCCTGCGGTCGCAGAGGTCGCATGGAGGCGGCCAGCGGCGCGGGCACGATCACGCCGCGGACGGAGTGCACGACGAAGTTCTTAGCCGCCAGCGCGTTGACCTCCTGCACAGGCACGCCCCCCGCGTAGAAATAAAGCGCGTCCATGGAGAGGCTTATAGCGGATCCCGTGGATGACGTGGCGGCGCCCTTCCAGGAGAAGAGCGAGACGCTATGGGGGATGAAGTGGTGCAGGAGGAGCTGGCGCAGAGCGGCGCGATTAGCGGGGAGGACCATGGTAGTAAGGCCGACAGGGGAGATATGTTCGGCGATGCCTGCGTTGGTCGGCGCGAAGACCGTGACGGTGCGCCCCTTCGCGATCATGCCGTCAATTTCGCGCTCGAGGCCCGCGTGCGAAAGAAGATTGGCGAAATCTGTGTAACCCGACGCAGATAGCTGGTTGACGAAGGAGGCGTGCGTGAAGGACACGCACGTGGATGCGAGAAACAAGATCATGAGGCGTGCGGCTATTTGCGCCATCGCGAGAGAGGGATGCGAAGCTCGATGCGTGAGTGCGCACACTAGGGAGGTGCGATGCTTCAAGCTTCAAGCCTCAATCTTCAAGCTTCAAGCCTCAATCTTCAAGCGTCAACCTTCAAGCTCAAGTTGAAGAACAGCTTTCGCGTGTGGGTGAGAGAGAAAAGTCTGCTCGTTTTCGACCGTGAGGGATCTGAATGGCAAGCATAGTGCCTTGATAGTTGTCTTGGCTTATGCCAACTATAACATCGCCGTTGGGCTATGAGTTTTCTTGATGGCAGGGAAAGCCAGGGCGAAGAGCGCTGGAATTCACGGGAAATGCGCTCAGGTTGCGTTGTGTGGGCGGGAATAGACGATGCCAGCAAGCCACGCAAAAGCATCTGGGATGGGAAACTCGGCGCATGGCCCGCTCGCTCATACAAGGATTCTTCAATTCCTGCTGGGCGCTTGCACAGTACACTACCACCACCGACAACGAACCCGCTAATTCATCCCGCCTACTGCGTTCCATGCGGCGGCTGCTCCTGAACAGTGTTGCTGAAATCTGCGGTTCGGCTATCCTGGCTCTCCCGCTCAATTCAGCTCTCATTCCTGGGTTGGACGGAATGGATGGAGGCATTCCCGCGTAACCATTGGATGCCGCCCATCTGCGTGTGAAACGGAAAAACAGGCGGGTCCACTCGAAGAGACTTTCCCGCCAGGGCAGTCAAGTCTTGGCAAGCTGCAAGGCTGGATGTGTGCACAGTACACTACCACCACCCGGAATTTCTCCTGCGAGGTTTCAGTTCGGGATCCATGCAGACTGCAGCCAAATGAAGTGCCTGAGAAACTGGGTATGCCGTCCCACCGACGGGGCACGCCTGAGAATGCACACGAGAAACCTTCTGACGACCGCACCTGACATGTCAATTGCTCGGAATGTGTGGGTCTGCTGAAACCACGGCTGGTAGGGACGAACTCCTTTTGGATATACTGTAATAACTCTCAATGCCGAAGTGTAGCTCATACCGATGCCATATGTGCTCTACCATGGTATATGGCATATTTCACACGCAATCACATCAATTTAGCAGCATGTGACTTCGAATAATCTTGAAGTTTTATGATTATTGTAAGGTGTAAGGTATCGTCATTCACACTGAAAGCGTGTTCATACACCTCCTATTAGGCGACAGCTGTCGCGAATTTGTAGAATGCAATTTCTACGTGAGTTGGTTCAATGCGGTCGATGGCGTATTCCTACCGAACAGATGTTAGGAGAAAAACTGAATAAGTTTTGAATAGAGAGAGAGAGAACAAGGGTATATACCTAAGAGTATTGTACCCTCTAAAAGGTGACCCTATACAGTCTATACAAATATGAGTTATGCATATATTTGACACACCCCCTAGACTGCATAGGGGCAAATCCTAAACAAGCAGCTCAGGGTGGCACTACTAGTCCAGCCACTGAGACAAGGGTCCAAAGACCACTCAGAAGGAGTACAGGCAAGACAAAAGCAAGACCAGGGCGGCACTACTAGTCCAGCCACTGGGAGAGGACACAAGTCCAGTCTGAGTACATACATAGATATATATAGGACAGTACAAAGTCAAGGTCCTAGCAAGTGAGAGACTACAGGAACTAGACCGAGCTGTACACAGTGCCGCTGATGATCTTTAGGCGTAAGTGCCTTCGTAAAGATATCAGCTGTGTTGGCACCAGAGGCCAAGTGAACTACGCGGGCCTGGCGGCGCTGCTGTAGCTCGCGCAGGAGGAAGTACCGCAGCTGGATGTGCTTCGCTCTGCCCTCTTATCGAGGCTCCTGACACAGGAGTATCATGGCCCTGTTGTCAGCGTACAGGACCGGGGCAGAGCTAGGCCACTCACCTAAGTCAGTGAGCAAGAAGGTCAGGCAGCGGAGCTCCTGTGCCGCCATGGCACCAGCGTAGATCTCAGCCTCACAGCTCGACTGAGCAACAGACGACGAGCGAGTGGATCTCCAAGAGGTAGCACCCGAACCAAGGCTAAAACAGTAGCCCTGCGACGACCTGAGCGTCTCAGAGTCGTCTGCCCAAGAAGCGTCTGTGTGCCCAGTGAGTACCACTGGCCTGCGTCCTCCTAACACTAACCCCATGCCTGATGTACTTGCTAGATATCGCAAAACCCTCTTAGCGGCCGACCAGTGCTGTGGTCGGTGTCTGCTAGTGGCCACAAAGCGAGCCAGGATGCTGAGAGGGTATGCGAGATCTGGGCGAGTGCAGGTCATCAGGTACATGAGGCAACCCACCAGCTCTTCGTAGGGGCCGCTGGGCTCTACTGGCTCCTCAGGAACAGGAGCGGAAAGCCCGTGGTCTACAGGTAGAGGTGTGGGCTGTGGAGAGGAGGACTGAAGACCGAACCTCTGAAAGGATCTGACGCACCAAGTGTGACTGGGTCAGAGTGATGGTGCGTGCTGCTCTGTCCCTAGAGATCTGCAGGCCAAGATAGCGACGCAGCTCTCCAAGGTCAGTGCAGGTGTGTCTCTTCAGCAGCTCGGTCTTCACAGAGGCCAGTGCATCCCTGTCAGGGGTAGCGAAAACCAGGTCGTCTACGTAGACAAGGATATAGAACGGAGTCTGGCCGGAACGCACAAACAGTGAAGGGTCAGTAGAGGACGGAAAGAACTGCAGGTCTGCTAGCGTGGCACGTAGCGTGTCGTGCCACTCGCGGGCAGCCTGACGCAGGCCATAGACCGGGCACCTGAGAAGCCACTGGGTCCCAGGAGGGAAGGTACCAGTGAAGCCCTGTGGTCAGCGCAGGTAGACCTGCTCGTGTAGGCTGCCCTGAAGAAAGGCAGTAGAGAAGTTCTTGGAACGGGCACCTGCGCAGGGGTCAACGACGGGGTCAATGTCGGGGTGGGCGGCACGTCAGACGAGGCAGTCGCGCGCCCCCTTTTGCGCTGGTGAGCAGGACCCGCCACTTGCGGGGCTGGCGCGTGTTGCTGCTCGGCGTCAGGCGCGAGTGGCTGGCTCTACTCATCCACTTGCGCGTGTGGCTCGGAAGGGGGTGGGGGCGCGTCAGCAGGCTGATTGTTGACCTCGCCCCCTCCCACCAGAACGTCAACCCCAGTTGGGGCAGCCGCCCCTTCTTCTGCCCGACGCTTGTTACGCCAGTCACCCGCAATTTCCAGGGCTTGGCGAGTAGACTCGGAATTGGGGTGGCCGGTGACGACGTTGGACTCGCCGCGATTATTCGTAGTCGGAGCCATGACGGATCGGTGAAACTTAAAAATATCGGAAAGAAGAGTCGAGGGAGATTCGCCGCGAGGCAAAGTTCTAGTCTTAGCCAGCTTGAACGGGAGAAAAGCTAGAGCGGGAAAGTTGACAGAGCCGTATGAAAAATGAGAGACGTGGGTGGAGGTAAATGAGCTCCAACCCACGTATATGTAGCCCTGCGACGTCCTGAGCGTCTCAGAGTCGTCGGCCCAAGAAGCGTTTGTGTGCCCAGTGAGGACCACTGGCCTGCGTCCTCCTAACACTAACCCCATACCTGATGTACTTGCTAGATATCGCAAAACCCTCTTAGCGGCCGACCAGTGCTGTCGTCGGTGTCTGTCAGTGGCCACAAAGCGAGCCAGGATGCTGAGAGGGTATGCGAGATCTAGGCGAGTGCAGGTCATCACGTACATGAGGCAACCCACCAGCTCTGCGTAGGGGCCGCTGGGCTCTACTGGCTCCTCAGGAACAGGAGCAAAAAGCCCGTGGTCTACAGGTAGAGGTGTGGGCTCTGCAGAGGAGAACTGAAGACCGAACCTCTGAAGGACCTGACGCACCAAGTGTGACTGGGTCAGAGTGATGGTGCGTGCTACTCTATCCCTAGAGATCTGCAGGCCAAGATAGCGACACAGCTCTCCAAGGTTAGTGCAGGTGTGTCTCTTCAGCAGCTCAGTCTTCACAGAGGCCAGTGCGTCCCTGTCAGGAGTAGCGAAGACCAGGTCGTCTACGTAGACAAGGATGTAGAACGGAGTCTGGCCAGAACGCACAAACAGTGAAGGGTCAGCAGAGGACGGAAAGAACTGCAGGTCTGCTAACGTGGCACGTAGCGTGTCGTGCCACTCGCGGGGAGCCTGACACAGGCCGTAGACCGGGCGCCTGAGAAGCCACTAGGTCCCAGGAGGGAAGGTACCAGTGAAGCCCTGTGGTCGGCGTAGGTAGACCTGCTCGTGTAGACTGCCCTGAAGAGAGGCAGTAGAGAAGTCGAGGGAGTGAAGCTCGTAGTCACGCTGTGCTGCTACGTGTAGCAGCGCCCGAAGAGTGGTCATCTTCGGGGTCGGGGCGAAGGTCTGGAAGAAGTCCACCCCCTCGCGCTGACTGAAACCTCTGGCCACGTAGCGCGCCTTGAAGACAGGCGGCTCTCCAGGGGGGCGCTTCACCTTGAAGAGCCACCGACCATCGACTACGTTCACCCCAGGCGGGGGAACTGCGTCGACGTAAGTGCCGGTGGACCTCCAAGATGCCATCTCCTGCTCCATGGCAGCTATCCATTGAGAGGCCCAAGGTCCCGAGGTGGCCTCAGCGTAGGTGCGAGGGGTCGGGAGGTCGAAGGCGTCTGGGTCACCCTCACGGACTAGGAGCATGGAGCAGAGATGGGAAGCGGCCTCGGAAAGGAAAGCAAGCTCGTACTGCCTGTCCTCTAGGACGTCACTGCCAAGGGCAGGAGCACCCCCGACGGACGGAGGACGGGCAGGGTCAGAGACCAGAGCAGTAGCGTAGTCGAGGCGGCGGGTAGAGGCGAAGTCAGCGACAGCAGCGACAAGCGCGTCAAGGCGCGAGACGGGAACAGACGGGTCGGTAACAAGAGAGGCAAGGACCCGAGGGACAAGGGGACTAGCAGCACGGAGGTAGTCAGAGAACGGAGGAGGTGCAACAGCAAGGGACGAGGGAGGAGGGGACGGGAGGAGGGGAGGACGAGCCGAGCGGGAACGGAGCAACATAGTGTGGGTGGGCAGGACAGGAGAGACGGGACGAGCACGGGAGGGACGGCGAGCCCAAACGTGAGACGGAGGTGTAGGGTCAGGGGACAGCGGAGGAGACACAGGAGGGGAACGAGGAGGAAGACGGGCCGAAGACGAGTCCGGCGGCGGGAACACAGGACCGTAGACGGGAAGGTCAGCAGGCGGGGGGGGAGACACCGGCGCGCTGTCCGGGGAGGGAAGGCCGAGCAGGCGGAGAGCGGAGACCGGCGGCGATGGCTGCTGCGGCGGCGACGACGGCTGGGCCGGAAATCTCGGACCAGCAGAGGTAGAACGACCGGCGGAAGAACCCTCAACTGCAGCACCCCCAGAACCAGCACCCC